CACCACCTCCTGCGCCGGTCGTTGCTTCAGTGCCCGAAACGGTCGTCGCTCCTCCTCCTATTCCTCCACCACCCATGTATTCAATTCGGCTCGATACCTCTGTTCCGCCCCCGTCTACTCCTATGCCTGCCGTGCGACATACTCAGACTACAACTGAGGAACCCTACTCTTTTCAGAAGAAGGTTTATCGCCGTGTCGCTGCCGGTATGGTCTGGGAAGATCCAACCCTAGCTGATTGGGACCCAAGTACGTTTTATGCAAATATTTACGGCTACTCACTATTGTTGAGTAGGTCTTTTAGCGTGTCTTCTGTCTGCGAGTTGTAATGGGCACTCGAAATCATTTCACTGCCAAGGCTCCCTTGGCAAAAACGTTACTTCTCCTACTGGCAGGATATGCCACACTTCGGCTTGCAGAGCAACCTGTGGTCTTTGATCCATTACCTATACGCGTATATCGGTTTGGGAACCGTCGGTTACTGCTGTCTCAGTGCTTATAACCACTACTTTAAGAAATCTGTCTTTGTCGAACAGTTCTTTATGCATTAAGCCGGAACTTGAGTATTTTTTACGAAATAGGTCAATCAATAACAACTTTTCAAAATAGCTGGCTTTTCTCGGGCCTATTTTATTCAGTGTAACTTACTTTTCCAACCTCCTTGCCTGTTTAAAGCATAATGTTCTTAAAACCAACCTAGACGACTTCAGACTCTTCTGCGGAGATCTGGGCAATGAAGTCTCGGATGATACTTTGACTCGGGCGTTCTCAAGGTACCCCTCTTTCCAAAAAGCCAAAGTCGTTGTTGACAAACGCTCTGGCAAGTCTCGTGGATATGGGTTCGTCAGCTTCTCGGATCCCAGCGACTTCACCCGTGCAATGCGGGAAATGAACGGTGTGTTTTATCCCTCCCATTTTGATGTTCTATATGCACATATGTAAAAGCTAGTTTGGAAAAAAATAACAGAGCCTGAAATAACCATTTCCGATTTACTAGCTATCGCCGGTTATTCGTACCCAACCCTGTGTGCTGGAAACGAAAGTAGTTATCCCGTAGCATTGCAGGCGGTTTTGTGTTCAATCCCAGGGCTCTTAGTGTTAGGTTCAAGACACGCAGATAGATGACCCCCCGGAATTTATCGTAGGGCTCTGCCTAATCCCGTGACGTCTGTGGAACCATCATCATGTCATCGTGACCAATTGGCTTCACACCTCAAAACAATGTCATCAGAAGCGTCAGCAATGGAACCGTCTTCCGCACCACAACCACTAACGATAAGGACTCGGCCTCAGCTTTATTGCAAACACAACTTCGATCTGCGTATCCACCTTCTCAGTCACCAGCACTTCTGTTGTACTGAAAATAGCAAACCGTTGCTCCAGCCTTACCGTCCTCAGGATAACCAGTCATGTGCACCTCCGTGTCAATCTTTAGTAAACTAACGCAGTCCAGATCGCGTCACACCATCTCTGCTCCATAACACGTGTACGCAATATATTCTCCTTAATAAACCAGGCAGTCCACAACATGCGACCCAATTTTCCAGCAAAGACATGGCAAATGGAAGTTTTTGTGTCGCGCTTAACCGAGCAGCATGCCCCCGATGTAGCCAGTTATATGTGTTAGGAGCCGTCCTAACGGACGCATGCAGCCCTGGCGAGACCCTTTCAGGCCACGCTATCGGCCCGCGCGCAAGTGTAGCATTCAAGGAGCGGAGGTCACGGGATAGGGGTCAGTCACCAGGGACGGACCAATCAGACTGCTACTCGCTCGAGGACACAATCTGATTAGTCCGATCTATAACCCGTACAAGGGACACCATAAAGGACTTCCTTTTATTGCGACCTTCCTCTTTGTTGAGTGGAAACAAAGCTTCTGGGGCGGCACAAAATCTAGCTTTTGGCGACATTACAACAATATTAACTGTAGACTGTGTGTGTTCGACCATCGATTTCGATTAAGTCCACCAAGTGCACCAACAAGTTGGTACAGAAGGTGACGGTCTCAGGGGGTAGCTTTAAAGTGATAGCGGACGTAGTTAACGCCAACCGCGCCCTTCATCTTCGCTCTGAGTCTCGTATACTAAACGGGGCCTGGCATAGGTGCTTTCTCCAATGCAAACCGAAACATTGCCTAACTTAGTCTTAACTCACAGTAGCCTTTTGCGCTGGTACTACTGTACTATTTACCCTCATTCACCCTTAGTAGGTGTGAAGACAGACTCAAGGAGGCCAAGACTGGTACGGTTACTACTGATTCTACTACTACTGACTGTCAGTGTGGCCGAGTCGTAGTAGTACTAGTACTATTTCTGACGCTAACATTTGTCAGAAGTAACGCTGGTTTGAAGTTAGCGCTGGGGCTCATACCCCCTTTGTTCCCAACAAGGGGTGGGAAATCTGGCTTTTTGCTATTTCGAGTAACTACATGTTTGAGGCCCTAGGCAGGGCTTGCCTTGTACTCCGCCATCTCCACTCTAGCCTCCCAGCCTGTGTCCGTTTCAACTAGGAGCTGGACTACGAGCACTAAGATACTGCTGCTATAAGTACCTGCCTGTCCTAAAGTGCTAATTCTAGTAACCATAATTACTAAGCCTAGTAACTAGTATATTATGATATGGCTTGTGTGTGCCCGTGGACTAGGCTGTGTGTGGCACGCGTAGACGCCCTGTGTAGTGTTGTCAGTCACTGCGTCCACGCCCTGCGCCGGTACTTTTGACGTTGCCTGGCCATCGAAGAATAAGAATGTTTCGCAAGTCATCGCTGCGCCCACTCTGTGGGCCTCGCGAAGGATGTCATCGCATTTTCAGTCAATCCTTCCCTCTAAGATCCACCGTGTCGCGCCAGCAGTCTGCATTCGAACACGACTCATGCGATTTGCTGTTTTTTGTGTAGCCCCCTGTACGACGATTTCTACAAGTGTCCTTATAATGATCAGAGGAACGTCTGCCTGCAACTAATAACCATAGCGGGCGAAAACGGAACAGGAAATCGCAGTCGGCATCACATCTAATTAGCTCTTCTTCGTTTCGTCCGTTTAACACGCCTTCAGCGGTTATTTTTTTTTGACGCTCACTTAAAACAGGGTGTGTTGATTCCTTTTAGGGAAATATATCGGAAACAGACCGATCAAGCTGAAGAAGAGCGATTGGAAGAACCGGCAGCTGGAAACCTACAGAAAACGCGAGAAGGAGAAGAGAAAGCTTGGCTTGAAGATCTAACTCAGAACTTGTCCATACTCTTCATGTGTTAATATGCTTTATGACCTACGTCCGCTTTCCTTGTTTTGGGTTATATTATATTTCCATCTAAAACTGTCGGTAGAATCTTGGCTGGCTTCGCTAAGGCCGCGACGGGAAACTGACATCGTAACAGCCCCCAAACCACGAACAATGGTTGGGTAGGAAAACTGTGGCTCCAAAAATTCCCAACTGTGATGTAGCTGTTTTATATTAAACTTTAAGTAAGGCCACATTCATCGTATGACCAGGAAAGCATGATCCGGAGCAGTGGGGTGAGCTCATATCTCTCGGATTACATCGTTAGGGCTGTGTTTTACCTTGACCTCTCAAATCTCACCATGTCTCTCGAGAATACTTTCTGAGAGTCTGGAGAAGGACTTGCCGATTGCGGCTTTTTCTTTTTACTCACTGTCTGCAACAAGGAGCTCTACTGAGTCGATGGCGGTAGCCTCGATTGCCTTTTCTGGGATCTATGTCGACTTTTGACCTACTAAGGTTTGCCCGTCGTATTCAGGCTGTCGTTCAGATCTGAGGATCCCGATCACTCCCGAGAATAGCTTGGTCAGATGCTGCTCTAAGCAGTGCACGCTCATTTGACATCAAAGCTATATTTTTTTCAACTGAATGCTTCGCATATCAGTATTCGGTAGGAGTACCACGGGGGGCTGCCTGGTGAGCGCGCTTCGTCTTTCGGGCCCATAATTTTAGGGGAGAGGACGGGTGGGGCATGTCAGGGAGCAAATTAGATCGCAATTATTCTGTAGAATAAAAAGGTTGCGAAGGTATGTTGCGGCGCGTACTCAAACCTCGGGCGGGGACACTGCAGCATGCTTCAATATCATCGCTAACCCCTCACCGGACCAACGGCAAGCGCGTGTATGTCGGGGGAGTGTGCCCCAACCTCGGGCGAGGTCATCGAGGTACATTTTCTAGGGGTACCACCAACACCAATTAGAGAAAGGGTTAACGCGGTACAAAGGTGCGAGGATTGTGGAAATTACCCTACTTAAAATGTGTAAGTAAGCGATTATTTCCCTAGTTAATTCAAAAGGCTAATTTGCTTAATATACTGACTAAAGCGGTTTTCGTATGCGGCTGCCTTCCGAGGACCACTCTGCAGTTCAGTGCCATCATCAAATCACTGCCGGATCGACGGATGGAGTGTAGAAAACTGGAAGGTTATAGATAATTCAACCTACTTAAAAAATTAAGTAGACTGCTATAATACATAAGGACCTTTCAAAGACCCCACTTAGAATCCCTACCCAGTATTCTACTTTTCTAGTTGTGTATACAGCTTTGTGCGAAATACCCTGCAACAGGATCCCACATTACTCGTTTTTCACAGCCGTGCTGGATGTTTGCCTCCTCGCTAACGTGGGATGGTAAAGACTACAAGGGCATATACACGTTATGGTCAGGTTTACAATCCACCTAGTGGTAGGAGTGAATCCTTGGATTCCATATTTGTTCGCACGGTAGATAAGGCAGTCGCACTGGTCAGGGTCGCCGGATCTTTTCTAGCGCCTTAGGTTTTTGTTGCTCACAAACGTGCATAATGTGGTCTCACGCCTTATGCACTGAGCCCGATTGTTTAGGAAATCCTGTCTGGTCAGTCAGCGTACTGCATCATGATGTGTGAAATCCCTGCTTTGCAATAGGCTGGGTGAGTAAATTGACTCTCGTGTGATTAAATCCATGGCTTCCTGTGGGGTCTCGTAGCTCGGTGGGCGAAAGCCGTGTTTGCGCGAAATTATAAGTGGAAGAAACATACCCAGATGGCCTGATTGTCCAAAATATCTCCCAGGGCGTTTGGATCAAAATGCTAAACTTGGTTAAGCCTAGTCATGTAAGGAAGTTACTGACTTTCCGAAGACAGAAAAACAATCGACTTTTTGGTTTTGTCTTCGATCTCAAAATGATTCAATCAAAATTTCAGTGGTTGCAGAGATAGCTGGCAACTTTACTGATCTATGCCACTTTGCTTGCCGGATCCGTCTCGATAGCAGGGATGGCGTGTCCGTGTTTTCAATCACCACTTTGATGAAGGCAGTTCAACATGTGGGGTTCTATCAGCTTGATCGTCAGGCGAGGACACTTGGTCCGGCTTTCCCAATGCGTTTACAATCTTCTAAGCCAGAGCTCGGGAACCCTTTTTCCTCACCGAGCCAAGAAAGCAAATAGTCAAAAATATATTTCAGTGAGGGCTATCTGATATATTTTAAGGTAGAATTCAATTAAATTTGAGTATAAGAAGCCTCTGAATCTGAAGTTTCGAATTCCAATTTTATCTGCGAGAGCCAGGTGCAATCATCCAAAGAGCCACACCTGGTTCGCGGGCCGTATACGTTCCCGACCCCTGTCCTAAGCCATTAGCCTAGCCGCTAGCTAACTGTCGCCTCCACGGATGGCGAATAGTGAAAGTTAGCTGCGACATAAGTAGGCTCTCTGGTCTGACGACTAAGCAATCGCGACGTGATAGCGACAGTTTTAACAGCGCGCGCAGGGCTGACGTCTGGCACGCTGACTGCCTTATAAAATTTTCCAAAGTCACGATGACAATCGTAGACCGCCATTAAATAATTTGGCCAAGGCTACCTTTTGGTTAGGCTATTAAGTCAAAAGGCTAGACCAGATTACCTCTAACAAACAATCTGGGTGGATGTTGGGGGCTTCCGCTGGAACTGACGCGCCCAGCAACCTTGCTGCGGGCGAATACTATGCGAGTTGTACAACTCCATCAGGAACCGATCCCCGGTAGTGAATTGTTGAATGTTTCTGGATTCTGGTAGTCGCAGTCAGAGGACGCCTGGTTTTCAATAGTACAATATTGTTAGCTTCGATCTATCTAAAGCCCGAATCCCCGACTCAGGTGTTCGGTAACTCAATATTCCGGGAGGATACTCCCACGTCACCTTTGGTAGACATGGTACGGCGCTCGACCCTTCGCAACA